CCTGCTGAAATCTTTTCTCTTGACGAACAAGCTTCCTCCAGTTATCTGGCATGCTACTTCAAAACTTGAAGCAATGATTCAAATGCCCTCCACCGTCTGAACCACTGCAGATAGTTACCAAATTTAATAAGTTTTGAATTGGTTATGGATTTTTTGTTGGAACAGTAGTAAACAAATTAGAAAATTAATGCTGTAAATTATTTATATATGTATATATAGCACATATATATATAAAAGAAAAGCAGTACTTTGACTAAGCTATGGTTTGCAAGATATTGATGGCATCAGGCAAAATTGTTTTGTATAATTAAATGCTTAGCTTTACTTTTTATGTAAAGTGCAGCATTTTCCATATTTTGTGTACTGCATCTTATTGATCAGATGTTTAAAATTATTTTAAATATTGCATTAAAGCAATTATTTTATTAAAAATACTAAGTTGGTCACTCGTTTCTTCATGTGCAAAATTGGGCGTCTGAAGCTGTCATCACCATGACTAATGGCGTGGCTCTGGGAGTGATCCCCAGCTATCTGCCCATCACACGAGTGGGGCTTGGTGGCCCCACGTGACGTGAACAGCAAACATAGATTTTAAGGCTTTTAAACAGAACTAGGTGACAGAGCAAAGAATTACTTGAGGCGGGGGGTGGGCAGGGAAAAAAAGCAACCTCGCATTTTTCTGATTTCCCTCAGTCAGCACAAGGGCTGGGGTTTTTTTGGGTTTTGTTTTTTTTTGGTTTGTTGTGGGTGTTTGTTTTTTTTAAACAGCTGGGCAGAGGTGAGCACTTTGCACATGTTCTGGGAAGTAAAAACACAGAAACCATCTCAGACTTAAGCAATATGCGTTGTCCTACATTCTTTTTAAAGCAACTCACAATTAATTAAGTGCAGGTTGGAGAACAAAGATGAGCATCTGCATATTGCCTTGCCTCTTCATCCTCTTTAAATCCATGTGCTACTTAGAATGAGAGATGTCAGAGAAAATAACCTAATTGAGAAGTAGATGTTTATAAAGTATGATAGATGATTCAAGGGTGTTCATGGCCTGCCTACAATGCAGATCACATGCTTTCATTGCTGCCACAGCAAGTTGTCTCTTTCACCTATAGTTCCTGCCTCTGTGCCACCTCTTCTTTCCCCTCAAAACACACATCAAACCCAAAAATTTTATTCTCTAAGGAGTAACAGATATTTTCAGAAACACTTTTCAGACAGGGACAGACAAGGGCTAGGTGCAAAGGCTAGAAATATTTGTCTCCTTCCCAGGGGTTCAGCCTGCCTCTCATTTGAGCTCAGCTTTGCTTCTGTGGCACTTAGGAGACATTTGGACTTTGCTCAGACACAGCAGGAGTTAAAGGAGAGATTACCAAGGGTTCACTTCTGTGCTTTTCCCCAATCTTGCTGCACTTTATCGGATTACTAAAATTCCAGTCATAAGGTGATGAGGACAAACCCTGCCATTGTGCTCCCTTGCCTTAGTTCTTGCCATGCTTGTGTTCCAGCTTGAGGACCTAGCAGCTGAGCTGTCTATGCCACCAATGCTGCGAGGGATCTAGGCACTTCTTGCTGTCCAGATGGCCTGCTAGCCTAGTGGCTATTTCTGATACACTGAGCTGTCTAGGCAATTGTCCCTGCCTCCCAAGTATTCAGCCTTTGGAGAAAACAGTATATATAGTTGCGGGGGGGAAGCTGTTGTTGCTGGTTCCTGACTACTCTCTTAGCAGAGTAGTTTTATATGTTACATGTTGACAAAAGGGGCCCTGTACTCCTCCTCCAGCTGCTGCTTTTTCCCTTTATTGCCATTTTCATCATCCAGCCTTTTGCACTGTCTTTGACTCCAGCTTTTCCCTTTCCCCCCTGGGAAAGACTAGCTTGAGTGCACTAACATACCCCACAGCTTTGTTTGAGGTTTAATGAGGAAGGTAGTGGGGGCCCATGAGACGTTGCTAGATGATTCCTCAAAGCCATTGCACTCTCTTGGACACTTCGACATGAGTAGCTTAAGGCTACTTTTTGCATCAAGTTGTTATAGGCCTCCTCTCTGGTAGGCACCTGTGTCCTGCCATGTGAGTGCACTGCTTGGCAAAAAATGCCATCAGCCATTCTCCAGGTTCATCTCTGCTCTGTTCTTTGCTTTCCCCTTCATTTGTAGTCACTGGGGTGAAGAAAGAGAGACTAGGGCAAATGAGGATGTCCTGAAGGGCCAGACAGTCCAAGTGATTGGACTTGATGAAACAGACTTGCTCCCAGCAGCTTTTCAAATGAGAGCGGCTGGGTTTCTGAGGCCAAGTGCAGCACACGCTTCCTTCTGCACATAGCACACATGATGTCTACACATCCTCCAAGAGCTGGATCGAGCCATTGCTATCCAAAGTCCCTTGGCTGCAACCTGCAGATAACTCTTCTGGAGATAACTGCAATCTGCAGTGGAGGCTTTACTCCTTTGATGAGTGCAAAATTGAGTACTATGACTGAAGAGCATAGCACACAGGACCTCTCTGGTTTGTCACTTTTGGTATTGGGCTTGTTGCTACTTGCCAGTGGCTTATCCTACTCTCACCTAGTAGGAAGGCTACCTGTCTGCAGGCCACAGTCCCAGTGTTTCACTTGGTGCAGGCCTGTTGTAAGCTAGGTGAGCACCCCTTTTAGCTTTGTAACAATTTGAAGGAACAGGTAAGAAACCTGGGCTTTTCATTCCAGATAGATCAGTCCTTGTTCCTACCACCTCTTCTTCTTCTCTTCTACTATGGGCATGAGCTGGTCACTCCTTTCCTGTACTTTGTAGCTATTCTGATGTGTTTGTTGCTAACTTTGCTACCCCAGTCCCTCCTCAGGATCCCCAGCTTCACAGTTCATTTCCAGACAGCCTGCTTTTGAAAGGGTTTTGCTGTGAAGGAGGAAGGAAAAGGAGGATCTCGATCCTGGACTTGAAAGTTGTATGGCTGCTCTGGGATGGAAGGGGGTGGTGGTGCAGGTCAGCTCACACATGCCCTGAGCTGCTATTTTCTGTGCGGGGAGCACAGATTCTCACAGAAAGTCTGTGTTTCATGGTGGCCAAGACTTCTGCCATTAACTCTTGTCTTCAGTCAAGAGTTTTCTAGAAGGTCCTTGCAGCAGTAAGTACTTCCCACCTTCCAAGGGTTGTTTGCCTGGCAGGCTTGTTTCTTCAGAGCCACCTAGAGTTCCTGCCAGAGACCCTGTCAGAGCCTGTCGTCTGTTCTCTTCCTCAAACCCCATCTCACAGTCCCACAACTCTTCCAGGTATCTCCTCTTCATCCTCTTTCTGTCTCAGAACTAGGAAAGGATATAACTGTCTTGTGTGATTAAGCTGGACATTGGGTGGTATCAGGACCTGCACTGAGGCCCCGGGGGGTGACCCGTATGTGTTTCTCCAGAGCTTTGCCCATCAGTTGTGTCACTGCTTCCCTGGGGCTGTGTCCTGGCAGGAGGGAGCAGAGGTGGGGGTGGGGTCAGGGTCTTGTGTGCTGTACTGCTAAAGCAAAGATGTCACCTTCATCTCA